AGCGGAACTCCCCTCTGATCAGCCTCACCTCAGACCCAGTAGCTGCTCCCCCCATGATAACCTCGCTTCCCCCAACCCCCCACCTATGAATATCTGTGAAGCGGATGTCTGTTGTCTTTTTTACAAAAATCAGAAAGGCCCCAGGCCTAGAACATGTGACCCCCTCCGGCCTGAAAGCTTGTGCTGATCAGGTCACTGGAGCTAGGTGAAGTCCCCTCCTGCTTCAAATGCTCCACCATCATCCCAGTTTCCAAGAAACCCTCCATCAGTGGACTGAATGACTACAGACCTGTTGCCTTGACATCTGTAGTTTTGAAGCACATTGAAAAACTAGTGTTGGCCCATGTGAAGGGCATTGTAGACCCCCTGCAGTCTGCCTACTGGGAAAACAGGTTAGTAGATGTTGCAGTCAAAAAGGCACTGCTTTACATTCTACAACACCTTGACTCCCCAGGGTCCTATGCACGGGTCCTCTTTGTGGACTTCAGCTTGGTGTTCAACACCATCACCCCGGACATCCTCCACTCTGACCTGGCTCATTGTACCTGCTCCCATGTATCAGTGGATAGCTAGCTTTCTGACAGACAGGAAGCAGCAGGTGAGGCTTTGCCAGGCAAAATCACATCCAGCATCCCCCAGGGATGTGTGCTCTCCCCACTGCTCTTTTCCCTCTACACAAATGACTGTACCTCAGAGGACCCCTCTGTTAAACTCCTACAGTTCGCAGATGACACAACGGGCATCTGTCTCATCCGAGAGTACAGACTTCAGCAGACAGTCAGGACTGCAGAAAAGGTCATTGGTGTGAGCCTGCCCTCCATGGAGGACCTGTACACCTCACGGGTCAAAAGGAGGTCAGAGAAGATTTCTGCAGACCCCTCACATCTTGGACACAACCTGTTTGAATTCCTCCCCTCTAGATGGCACTACAGGTCACTGTGCGCCAACCAGACACAAGGACAGTTTCTTTGTTTCTTCCCCAGGCCATCACTCTGATGAACACTTAACCCATGACTGTATGACAGAATGACAACCCTGTGCAATACCTTATAAATATACTTTTGTATATATTTATCTAGAAAGCCACATCTAAACTGTATATATTTCAATATTTATAAATACTTTATTTATATTTTCCTAATAAACATTTTCTCTTTTCCTTTTCTTTTAGATTATACAGTGTTCATTGTTCCTTTGTCAGTCAATGGGCCATTTGCCTGACAAGATGTAGCATAACATAGCCAGAGCAGGACACAGGCCCCTGACAAGACGGTTAAGCTGCCCGCAAAGAACTAGTGCCAACCAAAGACAGAGACTCAGCTATATTGGTGTTAAGCTGGTCCTTCTTTACTGCAAATTTCCCTATTTACACTGAACTAAAAAAGTCAAAATAATGCTGCCCACTTTCTTTTTACACAGATACTGGCCTCCCAGTATCAGAGGTGTGGCGTCAAGTGTGATACATAACCATACATACTGTATAACACATAAGCTGGAAATACAAAGCATACCAGTAACATTATTGCTTTCAAAACAATAATGGCAAAGTAACAGAGTAGGGATGTGCTTAAGACATGGCTCTGACTCAAAGCTGTTGTGTACAAATGTTAATGCTAATCACAAGTTCTGTTTCTTGCCAGCAGTGTTTAAATCCAAGCAATTACATTACATTGGGAGTCTGATTACACACTTTTGTCATATGCTCTCAATAAAAACAAAATATTTGGGGAAAAAATTGCAACTTGTGCTGTAAGATTTTGCTTTGCTTTACACTGTGGGCTTGTCAGTTGTTTGTCAACCAAATAAAACCAAACTGGGCCCATTGTCTAAGTGACAGGTTAACACACCCATGGATCATCCCGTTACAGTACATAGGGTTTTTTTCAAACCAACTTACACAATACCATCTACATTGTTGGCTTTTGCTAATGCAAAGTGTGACATGCAAAGGTGGATGTAACGTATCACTCCAGGGCTGCACTGGTTGATGATGATAGCCACTGGCATTTATTTTCACAGTAATGCACCAATGAAATATAAACAGAGGAGGAACTGAGTTATTACTAGGATCAAATATTGTGTGGACCAACACTTCTCTACTGCCAAAGCTAAGCAAATTTGTCTCTACTCAACTTCTGTTCTGCCAGAGAAGGGGTGAATTACAAATACAACTACTATTTAATCCATGCCAGTATAAGGTCTGTCCGCAGTTTTCAAGGGCAGAATGTCTGTCTACAAGACCCATCAACAGGAGCATGTTTTCTGTCATTGTTTACAATTGTAATCACCTGATTCTTAAAGAAAAACTATTGAGCATATTAATGATATGCATCCACTTTCCTGAATGTCTGCCTCTCCTGAACTGGCCTAGTGCCAATCCAACTACAACCCGGAAGGACAGGCTCCAAGTCAGAGTGACATCATTTTAGGCAACTGAGAAATCGCTGTACAGCTAATATTAGGATTGCAAAATCCATAATAATCCATCCAAATAATCCATCCTTATATCACCGCTGATAGCCTTGATGATCCCAGAAAGTTCTCGAGAGCAACTGAATCCTTATCTGCTCACAAAAATAATGATGATCTGCCTCCCTGATTCATAAAGGACTCAGCTGCAGTGTCTGATAAGCTCAGTATGTTGAATTGTTTCAAGGAACATTTTATTGCTTCTTCTTGACTCTGACATTAGCTACCTCAATGCAAATGTGTCTGGTGTCATTGGTTATTCAATTTAAGTTCTTTTCTATCTTTGACACACATGAATCCTTATTATAGTTAGATAGGAGGAAACCTGGTGGTCCAGACAAGTTAGAGCTGTATTTTTTTAAAGTTACTGCTGCAGAACTTGTTGCTTTTCCTCTCATATATATTTTCTTAGCTTTGTTATAAATAACATTCCAAAGATGTGGAAATCAGCCTTTGTAATGCCACCATTTAAAGGTGGAGATGTTCCTCTTCAGTAGGTATAGGTCTACTGCCAGCCTGCCTGTGCCAGTTAATATTCTGGAAACAACTGTGAGTAACCAGATGAAAGCATTTATACAGAGAAACACTATTTATTGACTTGTCTAAAGCCTCTGATACTGTGGATCATGCTCTGTTAAAGCAAAAGTTGAATAACAAAGCTGTCTAACAAGGCAGTAGGCTTGTTTTCTAATTATTTGTCAGGAAGAACTCAATGTGTAAACGTTAATGCACTTGGTTCAAACTGGCTTACTGCTGTCAACAGGGCACCTCAAGGTTCTGTGCTTGGCTGCCTTCATTTTGTCTTTAATTGTACCTGTATTATTCATTAGGACCTACTCTGATTGGTTGGAGGTGAACACGGGTCATAACTTCCAGCCAACTAGAGTAGTTACTCATGAATTATATTTTATAATTTATGTTAATGACTTCTGAAAGAGGCTGCTAGAGGACAGAGGTGAATCTGGACATAGAGAAATCTAAACAACTTCTTGTGACAAAAACATCACAAATATACAAATATGCTTAAAATACACTCGTGTTTATAAAAACGGGTCAAAGGGCCATAATCCTAATACAAAATACTTTCTAAATCATGCTCTCATGTGTCAAACAAACCACAGGTTTGAGACTACAGAACATGTGCCACCATATAAATAACATTTGTTGAATGTCAGTATAGCCAATCTCGCAGCACAGATGCTGTCATTAATCTCTACTTTTGTTCACTTTATCAGACAATGTACTGGAGGTACAATAATAAGTCTGCAGCAAAGACTTGGTTCTCCTGAATGGAGATGGCTCCCTGTCTTGATTTATTGCTACCTCTTGGGGGCTGGTAAAATACAGCTCCCTGTGAGTCTCCCTGTGTCTCTCACTCTCTAATTAAATAAACCATTTCATTTTATTGGGAGTAAACTATTGCAGGCATTTATTGCATATACATTCATAAGTATACCTTAGGGCCTCAGTTGGAGAAATACAGGACAGTCCAGCAGAAATGGATCCCAGATACGTAAAAGGAAAAGAGCTAGTGTCAGTCAAGGCTCACACACCATGCACCTGTTTGCTTGACCAATAAGCAAATGCCCTACTAGTACCCACCCACCACCCCTGCAGGTATCTGGAATTTGATTTAGTACCACCTCCTGCAGGGTGCAGAGATACAGTTCTCTGACGTTGCCTGAAAAGCAGGCCAAGAACAGTGGAAACAAAAAGTAAACCTGAAACAAGGGGTTCAGGTTTGGTTATGGGCCAGAAACTTTCTGTAGTGAAAGAAGCCTTATTGCTTTGGGGACCTAAAGTACTATATATATGACTTTAGATCTGTTTAGTCAAAATGGGCAGACAAAACACACATCTAATTTATTGATGGTACATTTGAATTCATAGCTGACAGTACATTAAACACTGCAGTAGAAAAATATTAAATTATCAGAAAAAATGAGTACTGGAAAATCAAAGCAAACAACTATGCCCTGAACAATATTTTATGACTGATCATTTGTCCCAGGCCATAGTCAGAACAGTCTGGTTTCTTGGACTTTTAATATAAACCATTAATCTCTTTGTCTTTTTAGACTATCTGAAAACTATAATGTTTGAACTGTAGCTTATAATTGCCTGAAATTTGACATTCCTTTATTTAGTTTTTAAAAATCTAATGGATTGGTGTAAAAGGTATTTGAGACATTTTGGATGATCAGCTGGTAAATTATAGTAATTGTGCTCCACACATATTGCTACCAGCTCACTACCTGCTCTTAACATCATGTTGTCACTGTGCAACAATCATTTCTCACAGTTACCTCCTAAAACCTATGTGGACATTATTTTCCCAAGTGTTTCCACTTACAAGCTCAAGTGAAATGCATTTTCTGGTCATACCGACCTGACTATTTTCTTGAAGTTTCTAGTTAATGCTTTTTGCATACACCATCAAATGCAGCAGAATGCAGAACATTTCTCTCTTACAGTATACACCCTTCAGTGCACGGTGTACTTGTCGTGAGCTGAGACAGTGGTCATCTTACCAAAAGTAGGTCTTCACGTGTTCTTGGATCAATACCCATGTCTCCCCAAAGTCGTCTGATTTCCACAGCTACAGAGGCAGGAGGGGAGAGGTGCGGTGTAAGAAGAGAGAGGAAGAGGAAGAGGAGGGGAAGAAAAGAGGAAGAAGAGGGAGATAGTGCACTGTAAAAATGTAGGTCAAACTCATGCCTTCGCTTTTGCTTAGACATACAATGACGAGAGCCATTTGGCAATGCTGTGAAGGAAACTAAAATGCTTGCATGCAAAAACTTAACCAACCAACAGTTACTTCTCTTTGCTACCATGTACTGCATGTGTATTAATAAATAAGACAAGAGTGGAGAAAAGTAATAGCTGCAGAAGAAGAGCCAGAATACATCTTTTCCTACTAGTCAAAATCATAAGAACATGAGGTCACTGCAAACAAGAATATGAATAAGAATAAACTTATTCTGACATACATAATTGTTATGTATGGTTACAATTGCAGCAGAAATATCTGGATTGAATATTTTGGGTAAAACAGAAAGTCTGATAACGCAACACTTGGAAGAAAACATCTCTATCTAGAAAAAGTGACTCAAAAGCAAAGAAGGTAGGGTGGCTCTCCTGCATTTCGAGTTGTCAAATAAAAAGATACAAACCAAATTTATACTGAATGCACCTGTGTCACTCTCATGGATCAGATTAGGCTACTCTCCAAGAAGGTAAAGTTGCAGCTGTAGAACTAGTCTTTACCTGTTTGTTTGGGTGAGAGCTGTCATAGCCAAGCACAAGGTCGGATCTTCTGCTGTGGAGCAGCAGGTCTGTTGGTCTGAAGGGCAGGGAGAAGCCCTGGACACTCTTACAGAAGTCAAAGGTGTTCCACAGGTAGTTGTTGGTGGTGTCCACAAAAAGGTACTGAAGAAGACAAAAGCACACTTAAGCATAAATACAAGTCATAAGACAACTCCAGGAAGCTTTTAAAATTGAGAAACAGAAACATGTCATTTCTAAGAAAAATATTTTTGAAGGGGGAATGCAGAAATGCAAAGAGAGTCTTAAATGTTCAGTGCTCTATCAAAACATGAATTCCCCAATCCCATTACACAGTTGGATTATGCAACTGTACTGTGCTAATCCTACTTTTCTCAGCAAACCATGATGTGCTTTGTCACTGTATTCCAGTAGGCTTTCAATTCTGATGAAAGGCAGAATCATATGATTAACTCACAGGAGAAATAAAGAAAAATAATATCCACTAGCCTGCCAGAAAATACTGCTGAGACTAAAGTAAAACTCTTCACTTAATATTTCTGCAATTCTGCAAAGTTTTGTTTTCTCAGATTTGCCCAGAAGAGATTATATAACTGTTTTCATGGTCTAAATTGTACTACCCAAAACGAGTAAGCCCTCGATTGAATGTAGGAGAAATGTTCCTTTAAATTCTTCCTCTTCAACTGATGGTTGAACACATAGTTGTGTGACAAATACATCCCCAAATCAGAAAAACGTCATTGACAGTAATACTGTTTTGCAGATCAGTTCAGTAATGGTAATCTTGGTGGAATCATGTTCCCAAATCTAGTTGTGAATATGACGAGTCCAGTGTTAAACCCGTGGTACAACCCAAAATCAGACAAAACTGGGATGGTATGTAAAATAAAAAAAAACTGAAAACAGTGATTTGTGAATCATCTGTGTCCTGCATTACACTGAAAACAATACAGAAGCATATTTTCTGTGATGCCGCATCCATTTTATTCTTTGTTCAAAATAAACAGTTCAATTCAAATGCCTGCAACACATTCCAAAAGAAGTTGTGACAGTTGCATTTTAGAGTGAGTAATGAGGCAATAAAATGAAATGATGACTCCATTTGAAACACGTGATCTCAACAGGTGATTGCAATCATCATTTGCATCCAGGAAAGGCCGAAACGTTGAAATGTGCACTGTGGTCAGACGAATCAGTATTTCAGGTGTTTTTTTTGGTAGGAATGGATGCCATGTGCTCCGGACCAAAGAAGAAAAGGATCATCCAGATTGTTACTAGCAACAAACCCAAAAGCCAGGGCCTGTCATGGTTTGGGGTTGTGTCAGTGCTCTTGGCAAAGCTAACTTCCACTTCTATTGATGGCTCCATTAATGCTGAACAATACATAGAGGTTATGGAGCAACAGACAATCATGAACAAAAACATTGACTCCCCTGCATTTCTGTCAGATAACACACAACTTCTCCTGGAAAATTGTTGTAGACACAAATTTTTTGGCATTCTCATGTTTATTTCTTTTGTTTGCATTGCAACAACACAAAAAAGCAGAAAAAAGCCAAATCTGGTCCATTCCACACAGAACTCCAAACATGGACTGTACAGAGTCATTATCACCTTTTCAAAACCATCAGAAATAGTTGTATTTCAAGCAGGTGATGCTCCTTTAGCTTGTAATGAAACTCACCTGTAGCAACCAACAGGTGCTGGTGATATACAGTGCCTTGCGAAAGTATTCGGCCCCCTTGAACTTCGCGACCTTTTGTCACATTTCAGGCTTCAAACATAAAGATATAAAACTGTAATTTTTTGTGAAGAATCAACAACAAGTGGGACACAATCATAAAGTGGAACGAAATTTATTGGATATTTCAAACTTTTTTAACAAATAAAAAACTGAAAAATTGGGCGTGCAAAATTATTCAGCCCCCTTATTCCATTGTAGATTTTGCTTTATGTTTTGGATCATTGTCTTGTTGGAAGACAAATCTCCGTCCCAGTCTCAGGTCTTTTGCAGACTCCATCAGGTTTCCTTCCAGAATGGTCCTGTATTTGGCTCCATCCATCTTCCCATCAATTTTGACCATCTTCCCTGTCCCTGCTGAAGAAAAGCAGGCCCAAACCATGATGCTGCCACCACCATGTTTGACAGTGGGGATGGTGTGTTCAGGGTGATGAGCTGTGTTGCTTTTACGCCAAACATAACGTTTTGCATTGTTGCCAAAAAGTTCGATTTTGGTTTCATCTGACCAGAGCACCTTCTTCCACATGTTTGGTGTGTCTCCCAGGTGGCTTGTGGCAAACTTTAAATGACACTTTTTATGGATATCTTTAAGAAATGGCTTTCTTCTTGCCACTCTTCCATAAAGGCCAGCTTTGTGCAGTATACGACTGATTGTTGTCCTATGGACAGAGTCTCCCACCTCAGCTGTAGATCTCTGCAGTTAATCCCGAGTGATCATGGGCCTCTTGGCTGCATCTCTGATCAGTCTTCTCTTTGTATGAGCTGAAAGTTTAGAGGGACGGTCAGGTCTTGGTAGATTTGCAGTGGTCTGATACTCCTTCCATTTCAATGTTATCGCTTGCACAGTGCTCCTTGGGATGTTTACAGCTTGGGAAATCTTTTTGTATCCAAATCCGGCTTTAAACTTCTGCACAACAGTATCTCGGACCTGCCTGGGACCTGCCTGGTGTGTTCTTTGTTCTTCATGATGCTCTCTGCGCTTTAAACGGACCTCTGAGACTCTCACAGTGCAGGTGCATTTATACGGCGACTTGATTACACACAGGTGGATTCTGTTTATCATCATTAGTCATTTAGGTCAACATTGGATCATTCAGAGATCCTCACTGAACTTCTGGAGAGAGTTTGCTGCACTGAAAGTAAAGGGGCTGAATAATTTTGCACGCCCAATTTTTCAGTTTTTTATTTGTTAAAAAAGTTTGAAATATCCAATAAATTTTGTTCCACTTCATGATTGTGTCCCACTTGTTGTTGATTCTTCACAAAAAATTACAGTTTTATATCTTTATGTTTGAAGCCTGAAATGTGGCAAAAGGTCGCGAAGTTCAAGGGGGCCGAATACTTTCGCAAGGCACTGTAAAAATCACACTGGGAACCAGTTAAAATGGAGAAAAGTTGACTTGACTTTCGTGTCGTGTGGACCACACTGAGCATGGAGAAAAGAAAGAACAGCAAAGAACTGTCTGAGGATTTGAGAAGCACAATAGTTGAAAAGCCTGGACAGTCTCAAGGCTCCAAGTCCATCTCCAGAGATCTGGCTGTTCCTTTGTCCACTGTGAACAACATTGTCAGGAAGTTTACAGCCCATGGCGCTGTAGCTAATCTCCCTGGACATGGACGAAAGAGAAGAATAGATGACAGATTGTCTGAATGGTGGATAAAGAACCTTGATCAACTTCCTGAAAAATTCAAGCTGACCTGCAGGCACAGGGTGCAACAGTGTCAGTTCGCACTGTCACCATCTAAATGACATGGGACGCTATGGTAGGAGACCCAGGGGACCCACTGCTGACACAGACCAAACTTACCTG